AGAGATGCTTTTATGTCAGGGTCTACCATTTTAAAATCATAGGAAATACTTAAATATCTATCACTTTCAGTTAATCTGTTATTGCTTCAAGTTCCTATGGACGTACTAACCTTGAACATATATTTTCCAAACTCTGTTCTTGTGCATGTACTTTTTAATATCCTGATGGGAGGCTCCTATATAAGGTATTTATGTATATAAAGCATTTATGTTACGATTTCCTTTTTACATTAAGTCTCATGAAGTCCTTATGGCATCAAAAGGAGACTATGCATTTTTTGTCAGATAAGCACCATGCATTACATATTTCACAGCCGTTTGCACAATGATACACGGGACATACATTAATCTTTTGACATGTGGCTTTTTACAGGCATTTTGCAATCACACTGAACAGGAACTCTACAAGTGCCAGCCCTTGGGGTAGAGCTGCTCCTGCTGGCTGCCAATCTCCATGCACATGACTCCGGGTCTGCTAAAGATGGTATTTGCAAAGGACTGCTGCCAGCATTCACCAAGTAGCTCTACGAGCTAACTGTTCTGCGTCAGCGCAATTTGAGTGTGTGGAATACTTTCACAGGGTTGTGTTTTGATGAGCAAATACATCTGGTTGCATTAAGAGATATAAACATCAATGAGGTGGGCAAGAACATACAGAATAAGCTTTTTTTTTTTTTTTTTTTTTCTCTGAAAGATCAGTAGTGATAAAATGGATTGGATTCAGTATTGTGTCTGTACTATGACAGTAAGTATGCCTTTTGCACCTACCAGAGCTTTGAGCTTTACAGGAAATGTTTGTTTTTTAAGAAAAAAAGTAAAAACACAAGTTGTTGTAAGGGAAACAGGATTTTTGCTGCCCGGTGAATACCAGCAGGTTACTCACAGTAATAAATTGAATACAGTAAGTTCTCCATTTTAGCGAAGACTACATCGGTATCAAAAGCCTGTAAACATGCAAAACTATTTTTCTCTAGTATCTTATGATGAAATGACTGACAATCAGTTTCAAAAGAAAGTCACAGTTACATAAATTGAAACCAAAGTTGTCTTATCTAGTGGCTTAGAATACTAACATAAAGAATTGCTTAAAAACTAGGAAGATCTTATCACTGAAGCACAGTTTGCTGGCAAGTAACTGCCAGCTATTTGGAACATTACAGATATTCCAGACATGTACAGGAGACCCTCAGCAGAGCCAGGAAGTGTCATTTACAATGGAAAACAATGTGACATCACCACACACTTAACTGCTTGTCCGTGACAGGGTCAGCTATGTACAACCACTGAGCATTGTACTGTTTGCATGCACCGGTATCGCTACTCCTGGACTCAACATTCTTCAATGACAATTTGATACAGCTAACTGGAAAACAAGCTTTTTTGTCTTTTGGTCTAAGAATCTCCACTTTGGATGAGTTACTTGAATTTTTTTCTGCTGTATTTCAGCAGAGATGCCCTGTCCTTACTGAAGTCCAAAAATTAACTGAGTCCTCCATGAACAGCCCTCCTGGCTCAACAGGACTCCTTTTTCCCAGGGAGCTAGGACCTACTCACAGGTTTTGCTAAAATCAAATTAACAAGAATCTTTTAAAGAACAATTTACGAAAACTCTCAAGTTTCAGTATGGTGAATTCTGTTCCTAGCCAACTACATGCTGTTGCTGAAGGCAAGTCACACTGCATAGCTGACTGTATCTATTGCTACCTTGTTTGTACTTCTTATTTTATCCAGAATCCCCTATTTGATAAAAAGCAAGTCAGAGAAACTCTAGGTCAATGCTTCCCATGACAAAAGGAGATGCATCAGCTCTATTTATTTCATTGTTAATTCTATCAGTATCAGTTTGTAAATAAATTTTACTTTTAAGCAGTCTCTGGTCTAGAAATTCTATAGCTGAGAGATTCATATGCACTATCAGACTACAGTAGTTGAAAATGACTGAAGGTTTTAACACAACAAGGGCTTAATTCAACTTACATGCTGGGTTTCATGTTTTTAATCACAAAACCTAAGATTTTAACCCATTTTGTCACTATCTGGAATAGATGAGTGTTTTGTGGCACAGACTATCCTGTTGTATTCAAACTTCTAAACACATGTAGGATGCTCACACCTGACCTGAAGTTAGCCAGCCCACATGGAGGTCTGCTCCATGATCTGATCAACTGCACCAGGAGGGAAACCAAGGTCATCTGCAACTCACAAGGAATGAGAAAGGGTAGCCAAGAGGGTTTCCAAGGAATGTAATCCTTTACCAGGACGCTTTAAAGGAAGCAGGCATTCAATAGAGTCTGCCCAAAAGAGCCAAGTAACACAGTTAGAACTTATCTTGAAGGTTAATGAATGGAGCAAATGAAATGCTATTTATTTAGATTACTATTAACAACTGTATAGTCTGTATGCATGAAGATACAAGGCTCTGAATAACAACCGCTGAACTTAAAAGACAAACTATATGTCACATGGAAAACCATAGTCAAGACCCTGTCAATTTAACTTTCAGAAAATGAATCACCTAATGACAATACACCAATGGCAGAGAATTCAAAAACTACTTTGAGTTCATTCACTGCATTTTTCTTTTCTTTAGAGAATTGCATTAGTTTACTCATTTCTCCAGATAATGAATTGTTCAGCTTTCGTGTCATGGATTGCCTTTGGCATTGAACCTCTTGCAAACGGTCCTTAGTTTTACTTTAGCCTTTCCCTGGCAGAGGCAACCACGCTGTATTAAATAAGATCTAATGTTGAAAAGCACCACACAAGTACTAGGCACCACCAAGATTAACCCGGAAAGGAAAAGGACAAGGCATCAGCAAAGCTGACAAGGGTGCTCACAAAATGCATGGACAAAATTATGAAAGGTAGGCTTCAAAAGAAAAAAAAAAAAGAAAAAAAAAAAAGCTTATAGAAAGCTGCAGTTAGAAGAAAAGAATGTTAACAAAGTTCTTACAAAAACCAGCCCCTGTTTATGCATATCCATTAAGTCAATGGAAAATAATGATAACAAATAGTTCAACATGTTCTATCCAATTTCCTTCTTCTCATACTCTTGTTAATGTGATCCGAATTCTTTCCACTCCAGTTTGTCTCAGAAAACTAACAACAACAAAAAATCACAGCTTTCCTGGGAGTGATGGAGAGAAAAGGGAAGAACAAAGCAGGGTTGCTAAAATACTGTAAGAAAAGATGCCAGGAAACAAAAAGCACATGCCTCATATACACATTTCCAACTGAAGAAACATACCATCACTGCTAGCAAACTTCAGGATAGCACTTTAAGAGCTACAGAAATAATGGGAGCCTGACAACACCACAGTTTTCTGAGTTTCTAAACAGATCATTTTTTAGCTTCTCATGCACAAGCCAAAAAGTGTATGGACTTCATATTTAAAGCAATTAAGCAGGCACACTCTTGATATCAAAGGAATCTAAAGCCTTCTACCTCTTCCCCCACAACAGTCACATTGGGACTAGATTTGATCTAACAGGTTAGTTTTAATGATCATAACTATGATCTTTGCAGTTCTAACATCAGAGAGAGACTTGTTGGAAAACCATGATTAACTCTGGATGCCCCCTCTTTAAAGACTCAGTAAAATACTGCTTTTGTTGATTTAATGGAAATGAACAACACGTCAACAATTTTTCAAGGGCGTCCCATTCAGACCCTCACAGTAAGGAGCAGAAATACCTTTCTGAATCTACTTAATCACTACGAACTAAGAGCAACTGGCAGTTTGATCTAAATTGCTGACCAATTATTCCTATTTGTTCCTTCTTTTGCCTTTCTTTCAATGTATACAGAACAGCAGGCATTCAGCACTTGAATCACACATTTCAGAAAAATTCACAGTTGAGTCTGACAGTCAAGAAAGAGTAAAACATTCTATTTTCTGAGGTGGTAGTTCCTGGAAATAAGCACAATAAACAACAAAATCAGCTACAGATGGACCGAGAAGTATGAGTGTCCTTTATAGCCTATTCTTTGTGGGCTTTACACTTTAGACTTTGTTTTTATTTGTTATATTTTTATTGTTTAGGACTCTATGGTGTACAGATATGGACCACCAAGAAATTCCTATCATTTTTTAAATTAGGCTGGCTCCAGATCATATTAAGGGCTCAAAGGCCTTTTTTACCTACTGTGGTCACCTCTATTGCTTTCAGGAATTGTTCCACAGAACAAACATCAGGAGACCTGTCAGAAGGCAGACACACTGGTAATTTCACAGTGCCAATATCCAGCAGCTTAGAAGCTTGGCTTTCCTCTCACCCATGTCAAGACCAAAGCACACTGGACAGGGCAGAAGGAAGCTGCTCTGATCACTAGTTTGCACTTCAGTCATCAGTTGCACAAGGAGAATGAAAATTTCACAAAAGTCTTATTTGAGTATAATAGTTTGGAGATGACTAAGTGGGAATCTTCTGAGAGGAATTAGTCACTGGAAGAGGCAAGCTCACTGCACTTTATTTGCTCATTACTGCAACGATAGGGTTAACATCTTGCATGACAGCTGATCTGCTTTTCTGAAAGTCTGATTTTTCTCTCAGAACCAACAAGCTAAGATATTGATGTTAGAATTACACTTTGAGCATGTCACCTATCTGTCAGTCACTTATCTGTCAGCCACCTTCTCAAATTCATGTGCACCAGTTTGCATCATTTATGATTTGGTTCATTTCTCTTGTATATACCTTCTTTACATTTGCTAATATAAAGAGTTAAAACTTAGGTGCTCTGATTATGATGCTCAACTCTGGAAAAAAAAATCATACGAATCAACATTTTGCAAGGAAGATTTTCAGGTCCCAGAATCAGCACACAACATCTGTAAACCTTTGAATTGGTTTTGTATCACAGATCTTTAATAATGTTCCTCCAACCCCCATCACAGCAATGTGGACACAGCATTTTTTTCCAGATTCTGTTCAGCATTTGCCTTTTCAATCACACAGCCTTATTTCACACCTGTGTTAACAAGGGAACCTCTCCTCACCTTTAACGTGGCAGCCAAGCTGGCCATGTGTTCATTCAGAGTGCTCTCCGACTCCTTGTAAGTCAGGCAGGTGAACTGATATTCCTCTGGATCAAAGGCATCTGCTCCCTGCTGCTCCACGTCGTTAGCTACCCCAACATAATAATCCTCAATATCCCCAGGATCCTCATCCTCTTCCTCCTCCTCGCAATTAGGGTCATAATCCTCTTCATTGCTGTCAGAGCCCTGGCTGTTCATGTCCACGGACATCTTAATGCCCTGTCAGCTGCAGGCCAGCAAAGCAACTGTAGCTTCCGTTTTCTCCAAACTTTATCGGTCTTTTGATTTCATCTGAGCTCTGTTTCCTAAGGGGGGGAAAAACATTTTTTTTTGTTGCCTAAGAAATCATAAGAAAGGCCATGCCAGCATCATGCACATGATCTAATAGCCAGGAATGGGCGGGTTCCATGGCACAGTCAGAGAGGATTCTGCCATGCAGAGGCCTGGTTTGCACCTGCAAAGCCAGTGCTGCTCTTACATGCAGGTGTAAAACCTCAGAAATCAGCTTATTCCATTACTCTATCCCCCCAGCAAGGCCCCAAGATTTTTGTCATTTGGAGAATCTCCTCACAAGCTCCACTACACAGCTTTTCCAAGGTACATCTTCACTCATGATATACCAGTTCTTTTATCAAAAGCACCGTCTTCATTTCATCAAAATAAATAAGCTAAAAATTATCTAAGCTCACCAGGAGCCAGAAAGGCAACCTGTGATGCCCTGTACAACCACACACTGCTTCAGAACCATACAAATCCCACCCGGGACCTTGGAAAACAAGAGGAGCAAACACATCTTTTTCTTACTCTCAGTTTAACAGCCCAGTACCATCTCAAAGGAACAGCAAAATCGGTTCATCCCTTAACGAGGCCCTGCTGGACGTGATGCGGCCTGTGCATTATGTTTGAGGGAGAAAAAACAAATAAATTCTCACTTTGTTACCTCCTCAATGTACACCTGTTACCTTTTGAATGTACAAATTTATGCTCAAAAGTGGACAGTTTCTGTTTAGAAGAAATGAGAACAGTCAAGCTTCTTTTTTTTTTAAACCCCCCTCATAATAGAAAATTCATCTATTTGACTTTACTTAACTGAACTACACACCTGCTCATGTAATTATACGAATTAGATTCTTTTAAGAGGTTCAGCTGACACTGCATATCAATCCCAAATTATTGTCATCTCGTACTCGGTCACAAATTGCTCTTTGAACAAATAATTTTGTTTCAAGAGAGATTAACTAGAAAAGAGTTAAAATATCACACTGCAAATAGGTTTTACATATAAAATATATATGCAAAAGAAAGCTGCATTTCACACAAGCAGCACATATTGGGTTTGTTGCATATATGTGGCTTTCTGCTTACCGTTGACACTAGCACTAACATTTTAGCCTATGTGCCCAATGTTAAAATTTCTAGCTGCTGGAGAAACCATAATTTGACTTTAAGAAAAATAATGAAAAATTATTGTTGAGATTTCCAGGGCTCTGAGCTTGGTTTTCTGGTTCTAATAAACAGATCAGACGTCATGGGTCAATCAGGAAGAGATCCAATACATAATTATCTGAGGGGCTGCACTAGCTTCAGCAGATATAAGCTCCCTCCCGTGAAAAAGGAAGGTTAGAAGTTAATTATATTATTCCTTGAATTCCGGTCTCCATTCCTTTCATGTGACTCTCGATTTCTTTTATAGCACGGCTTCCCGCAGAACTTTGCAGGATGGGAGCTCCTACCCTCCACTTTGGAAGACAGAAATGAAATCCTAGTGAGCTACTTTCCCATCCGTGACACGAGATGAGTTACAGTAGCAATGCCAGTCACGCAGGTGATGCCATCAAGCTACCAAGGGAAATAACCTTTTCCCCCAGATTAAGCAGCTATCAGGTCCAAGTAACCTGCTCCTATTGCTGAGGAATCACTCGCACAACTGCTGCTAAACAGGAGTCTTCCTCTATCACAGACAAGCTCATTCACAGACAGAAGAAAATGCAAGCTTTCCACAAACGGAGACACTCAAATAAAGAATCAGGGGAAGTGGCAAACATGCTCCTACAAATACATATTTTGAAAAGATAGTGGTTCTGATCTGAAAGGTTGATGTACGCTGCTGTCTCTGTTTCCACTCAGAGTTCTGCAAATGAAGATGTCTGTTCTGTACTTTAGCACCATTGGTGAGCTCTGATTTAACAAACACAAAGCAATCCTATTCTCTCCTTCCCTCTAGTCTCCCTAATCAATCAGTTTGCATTTAATCTGTATCAGTGCTGACTTCTTGTGCAGAAGTAGTAATATTATATGCGTTCAAAGGAATAACTTATTTGAGAATTTGGAATCAGTCTAGATATTCCTACAAGAGAAATCAGTAACCTCATGTGCGACAGCTTTGTTTGGCCAGCTGCAGAGCATCACAAAACAAAACAGGTATCACCAGTTAGGAAAGTTCCCAAACTCATCCCACACTATGGAGATAGGAAAAAGCATGTTTAATGGATGATCCATTTACTACCTCAACACATAGCCAGAGCCATCAAAGCGGTGAGATGTTCTCAAATGTCTAAGCAGAATAAGGGGCTTCCATAATATCTGTATAACTAGTCACGTACCAGTCGCTGCAGAGAAGAGGCACAAGACAGAAGGGCTCTTGGAACTTCTTTTCAGCCATTTTTCTGGGCAACTAGAACCTATTTATAGAGGAATTGTTTCCATGGGCAAATCAATAAATCAAGGAGAAAACTGTCTGCAGACTGGACATCCTTTGTGACTCTTTGCACATCACTTTGGGAAAGAAGTCACTTTCAGCCTAACTTAATGCCCGACAGACATGAGTGAATAGGAGAGAGAGATTAAGGCATAAGCTTGCTGCCAAAACAAAGCAAGATAGAAGGACAACAAGACAAAATTCAGCTATTTTTCAGCCTAAGGCCCTCAATCTTGAGCTCTCTGAGTACACATTAACAAAGGATACACATAAACCTTGGTATCACTAACTTCTAAGACAATAAAGATGATAACATACAAGAGGGTCAAAGAACAGGAAATATTTAGATAAAATAAGTTACCATAATCTCAAAGATCAGATTTAAGTTTAGTTCGTTCTATCACATTTAGTTGGTTCTCCTACCTAGGTAATAAGGAGGTCCTACTTTACCACCATGATCCAAAATACACCCTCATCCTCACTAACACAATCTAATCCCCTTTCTTCTCTCCACATCCACATAACTTCTTAACAAGCTCTACTGAAATAAATGCCTTCAAGTATGCGACCACCAGCCTCTTCCCGACTCACTGCTCTTCGATAATAGGAAGTTACACCATTCCACGCTGTATTTTGTCTCACCGTATCATCCTTTTCTGACTTCTTCTCCTCTGGATCTACTTCTCTGGGTCTTCTCAGATAGGTGTTTTGGAGGTGTTTCTACTTTTTCGGTGGATTATCTCACAGCCACCTGAGGTGGCTTTGTCCCCTCCTATCTCTCTACTGATGATGCTGAAATTGAGAGCGAGTAGCTCAAGTCTGATTCCCAAGTCACTTATCCACACAACCTTTAAACAGACCAACACTCTCTTTCCTCTGAAACCCTTTACAATCCCAGCTCCATACTTCCTAGCATTGTTAATCGCATCTTTGTCTATGTCACTCAAGCCTGTAATCCAGGGATCATCTTCAACTGTGGCTTCGTGCACACACCGTGCACATTTTGCCATTTCTTTCTCCACTGGGTTTTCAGACAATTCTTTCATGCCCAGAGAAAGCTGGGCACATCAGCTCCCACCTTCTTCTCCATATGTGACTCTGCGGGGACCTCCTTGCAACCATATCCCACAGCCCCTGCAAGTTTGCCAGCTCTCTGCCCACTCTCCAGTACTTTGGCTAGCACAACTCCCTTACTCTTCCCTACTTGTCTAAACTGTTTCATTCCTGCCCCTTCTAAGCTATTGCTATGGCCCAACCCGTTGTTCCCCCCGTACCTACTGGAGCCCTCCTTCCCCGGCAGCTGCTTGGAGTGCCCGCCATAGGTCGGAAGAGGAAGACACGCGAAGGAGGAAGATACCGCGCCCGGTTAAACCACCTCGCACCCGTTTCCTTTGTAGCGCGCTCAGGACGCGGTCACGTCCTGGTGCCCGCAGGGGAACCCAGCGGGAGAGGAAAGGGAGAAGCCGGGAGGAAAGAACAGAGCAGGGGAGGGGGG